CCCCTAGGGCCCCATATAGTAGGTACCTGGGAGGTTAGGGTTTCTTCAGGGTTTCTGAGTTTGGGGCTTGGGGTGCAGGGTTTCGGGGCGATCTGCAAAGGCACTAAGGACCTCCCCCAAAACGAAACTTCAAAGACCACACGTAACCCGTAAACCCTAAACCCTAACCCCTAAAAGGCCTTAACCCTAAACCCTAAAAACCCTAAACCCTAAAAGCCTCAAACCCTAAAATCTAAACCCTAAAAACCCCAAAAGCCCTAAACCCTAAACCCTAAGAGCCTTAAAAAAAAAAACCTAAGAACCCTAAAAACCGTAAACCCTAAAAGCCCTAAACCCTAAACCCTAAAGACCCTGAAAACCCTAAGCGCTAAAAACCCTAAACCCTAAAAGCCTTAAGCCCCCTAACCCCTAAACACTAAAAAGCCTTAAACCCTATAAACCCCAAACCAAACACGTGCAATCGGTGGTCCAGCACATTGCCGGCTCGGGCCCTAATGAAATTGTTATTAAGGATTACAACTAATTCTATTCCTAGATCAATCATACAAACTCTGAACCCTATAAACCCTAAAACCCAGGCTGGTCTATCTCCTGGAGAACGGCACTCGCGAGCCAGAGCCTCCTCCCTTTTTCCAGGGCAAAAGGGGCTTTCTTGGAGCGTTGTGCAGTTTTTGGGGATTGGTTTAGGGTTTAGGGTTCAAGGTTTAGGGTTTAGGGTTTAGGGTTCAGGGTTTAAGGTTCAGGGTTTGGTGATTACGTAGTCGATCCGGACTTGCGGCTTTCATCTTGGCCATTCTCGCGTTGTGAGATTCCCAGGCCGAACCCGGAAGCCAAACAGTCGCAGGTTTAACGTGGGCTTCAGGGCGGTTTGGTGAGCACGAGTTTGATAAGTACGTAGCAGGATAAAGCAGGTCTGCCTCCAGAACCCCAAAGCCCTAAACCCAAGCAAACAAGCTAGAAACACCAACGATACCAAAGCATCTCGGAGACCCTAGTGGCCTAAAGACTCTCAGATGTCAAAGCCGAGGAGTCCGAAGCCCTATGAGCCCTGAAGTTTGGGGTTTTGGGTTTAGGGTTTGGGTTTGGGGTTTGGAGTTGAGGGTTTGGGGTTTAGTAGGGTTGAGGGTTTTAGGGTTTACACAGAGACTCAGGAACCGTTGAAAAGCCCTAAAGACACACACCTCAAATCATCCTCTGCGATAAGGAGGCCCGAAAGGAGAACCAAAAAGGCGAGGTAAGAACACCTAAGTTTCCTAATTCCTAAACCCCAAATTAAAAGTTCTATGCCCTAAAACCTAAAACTCGAAGCCCTAGGACTAACAACTCTCTGGTTCTTAGTAGGGAATGGGGGAATGGATCCCTATGACAGTCCCTTAAGGTCCCCTTTAGTAGTCCCAATAACCCATTCCCCCCATTCCCTTAAGAACCAACCCTAAACCCTACACCCTAAACCCCTAAACCCTAAACCCCTAAACCCCTAAACCCTAAACCCTAAACCCCTAAACCCCTAAACCCTAAACCCCCATTCCCTACTCAGAACCAGAGAGACAAGGGAAGCCCGAAGCAGAGCGCGCCAAGGGAGTCGGATCAGGAGCCCGTGGTCCTCACCCAGGCTCCTTGCATAGACGGGGCTTCAGTATTGTTGTTGTTATTTTAGGGTTTAGGGTTTGGGGTTTAGGGCTTAGGGCTTTACGGTTTGGGGTTCGGGTTTAGGGTTTAGGGTTTAGGGTTCAGGGTTTAGGGTTTAGGTAGCCTGTTGTGGTTTAGGGTTTAGGGTGTTAGGGTGTTGTTGCTAGAAGCGCTAAGGGTCCATGTGCCCAAATAGTATGTGGTTTAGGGTTTAGGGTTCAGGGTTTAGGGTGTTATTGTTTGTAGCCCTAAGGGTGAATGTGCCCAAAATAGTATATGCTTTGGCCTTAAAGTAGTCCCTGTACAGGTACTTTGGGGCCAAAGTATATACTATTTGGGTGCATGGACCTTTAGGGTAGTACATAACTAGTATCGTTGTTATTGGTTTTTGTTATCATCATCAGCATCACCAGGATGATGATTGTTACAAACAGCCATCATCACCATCATCACCATCAGTAGCAGCATTATCATCACCTTCTATCAATATCATCATTATTGTCATTGTTATGTGCTTGTGTTTCCTTCCCCCTTGATGGAGTTTTGTCTTCCGACCTGGAATTTTTGTGGGCGCGATGTGCGTGAATGGGCCTGTGTCAGGAGGTACTGTGTGGCAGAGAACATCAAATTTTCAAGGTGACTTCCCCTGGCTATAGTTTAAAGTGGGTTCACTTGGTTCAAAATTAGGGGACTACCGGTACCTCTAGAAAAACACATCTTTTATTAAAGACGTACCACTCTCTTCCTACGGCGAACACCTACAAGTGTTGGCCATACAATACAGTCTTGAAGTAGACCTCCTCGCCCAAACTAACATGAAATTCCTTATTGGCATATATCTTGATTTCGAGGAGGGTAGTAAATAACCCATGGACCCCAAACCTCAAGATGCCAATGTTAACCGCCCTGAGCCCCTACATCGGCGTCTTTGCAGCAGGTCTTGGCCAGCGAGGTGACGGCTACTTGTCTCACTGGACCCGTTCTTCGCATGGTGCAAAAGCTTGGCTCACATGTTTCATCGGTTTAGGGTGTTTAAGAACCGTTTTCCTCAGTGACATGAAATCCTGGATTTGCGTCTTGTTTCGTTCATGGCAACCGCGCACACGAAGCCGGCCTTTCTGGCTGCGTGCACCGAGAACTTTCTCTGTAACGCCTCAAAGCCCTGAAGATCCGGAAGGGCGCACCAGCCACATGTTCTTCCGCTCACTCCCATGCCAATCCCATGCACTTCGAGCCCTGCATCATGGTCCCTTCCACAGTTTCCAGCGACCAAGCCTCGCACGTTTCAACTCTCCGCATTTCGCGAACCTATCGCATGCAGCCGTGCGCAGCCCATCTGCGCCGAAGTAGGTCATGGCCTGCACCATGCCCAATGCACTCAAGGTTGGATACTCCGACTTGGAAAATGAGGCATCGGCACACTTTCCGGTTTGGGATCAAGCGTTTGAGTTTGAGGTGCAGGGTTACGGGTTTTGGTCTCAGGTTCATGTTTGAGGCTTTGTTCTTTGCTCTTCAGATCGTGCACGTTTAAAGATCCAGATGTCGACTCCCCATGCAAAATGGCGAGTTACTCTGTTGTGCACCGCTCTTTGCATGCAGCTTGCGGGAACCTTGCGAGTGTGGGGTTTTCGGGTTTGGAATCCCGTGATAGCACTGGCTTCTCAGAGGTGGCGCGAAGTCACACTGCTGATGGACAAAAGCCTGCATGTGCATCCCATGGTTCCTATAGCTCAGGCGACTTCCGGCGATGTTAGTGCATTGACATTCTCAGTAACAGTAGTGCCAGCAATTGCCGCTGCACATGAATCAAGTATCGAACAGCTGGCTACATTCGGGTTCACGGCTATAACAGGATATAATCAGGATATAACAGGTTCTCCTCGCAACAAAGGTTTACCTCTGAGTAAACCTTGTCTCAACCACCCTTGTGTGCAGGCAAGAACATCACAAAGTCATGACCACACATCAGAAAGGCGGAAAGCACGACAGGCACATGGTCATAATGAGAAAGCGAGAAAGAAGAGTACCAACCAAGACGAGCGCAGCTCATGGTCGCAGACACAGTTCTCACGAGACGAACAAGGATGAGAACTACTACTACTACTACTACTACTACACTACTAACACTACTACTACTACTACTACTACTACTACTACTCCTACTCCTGCTCCTCCTCCTGCTGCTACTACTACTACTACTACTACGACAATTCTGCAGGTTCTGGAGACCTTCAATGGTGAGAAGGTGGGAGAGCTGTTCCAGATGTCCCAAGAAGTATGGTAGTAGCACACGAGGCCTCTTGCCTTCAGAGCATAGCTCATGTACCTCTCAAACTCAAAGCTCCTGTCATCAGCGAATTCGGTGCAAATCGTATTCGTGCAGAGCGACCTCGTTTTCTGGTCCTCACTTTTGGACATCGCATGTTCTTGTCACAGTATGTGGAGACATCGCGTAGTTTGAACTCGCACTTCGCATGTGGATTGGTCTTGGAAGGGGTATCGGGAGCGGGCCTGGAATGGTTTCCGAGCCGAATATCATCATGGGGGTAGTCTCGGAATAGTCTCAGGATGTGGTCCTGGTGTGGCCTTCCAGTTGCGGATTACATGAGTTTTCACCGTCCGTTGCATGCTTTATGAGCCTTTGGGTTCCCATCACGGGCGGAAGGAGCCTTTAGGAACCACTTTGGGGTTCAGGGTGAACAGCGTTGCAATCTTCTGCACCTGCCTGAGCGAGCGTTCCAACTTCTGAGACATGGACTGTTGGCAGTGCATATAATTGCCGTCTTTTCTGTCATGTACCGTTCTCTGGGGCGTTCCACCTCTCCTGGCCTTCGCACCAGAAGACTCTGACAGCAAATCATGCTCTTCGGAGCCCCACCGGCTACACATACTCCGCGAAGCAAGAGGTTCCAGACGCCATGGCGATACATCATCGTGTTGGGTGTATGCTGTGCCTTGCACTTCTTTCGCAGCCTCTCCGGACACTGAATTTCGCGAAGCCCGCTTCCATAAAGTCAAAGTTCCAACCGGGCCGGGAGGGTCGAGACTTGTATGTCAAACTCGAACTCGGAGCGGCGGACGAATCCGAGTCGGTGGAGGGACTTTCCAGCAAAGACCGAAATCTAATCAACAGCATGGTGACTGGTGGAAACAACAGGGATTGGTTCACGGTCCTACGTGCGTTTGGGGCCTGCAGTCAAACGATAGCTCCACAATTCAATTTCGCAATGGCGGCAGCTCTGTAATGTGGACAGTTCAAGAAAGGCATTGCTATATTCGACGAGCTGTGTGTCTCGGGTGTTCGCAAGACATTGAAAAGCTACTGCTGTGCCATTAGACTGTCTGGTGAGCTTGGTTCGCGCGATCGAATCATGGCCTTGTGGATGGAAGCGCAGCAGGACGAACTATGGGAGAGTGATGAGCAAGCACTTTCCCTCATGTCTGCAGCGCTATATGCTTCCTCGAAGGTAGGTAATGTAACATTCGCAGCAACTTTGCTGGATCTGATGCAGAAGAGGGGAAAGCCGCTAAACGTGATTGATTGGAACCAAGGAATTGATGCATGCGCAGTAGCTGGTGAAGCCGGCGCTGAGAGCTTCTTGTTCGATAACATGATTAAAGCAGGTGTCAAGCCGAACATAATTTCATTCGCTCTCTTGGTGGGTGCACATAGTGGTAAGCCCGTGGCTCGCATCAGTGAAGCAGCGAGGCGCTTAAACGATCATGACATACTGCCAGACTCGGCTTTCTTCGAAGAGCTCGTGTGTGCCATCTTCGGTGCCCGGCAGCTGAAGATGAATACTATGATACGTGCGGAGGATACGATTGCAGTGGTTCGGGATGCTTCGGTGAGTCGGAGGGCAGAGGCATGGCGAGTGATCCAGGAAGCAAAAGCAAAGGGATTGCATCTGAGCAGCCTCGTGCAACTGTTCGAAGCATCACTGCAAAAGGTGGCTGAGTTTCCAACGATATGAGAAATCTATGCAGCTCTCGACAGGAGAGGCTCCCCCATCTGCTTCTTCATCAGAGCGAAAGCAAGACATCCCAGCGAAACTGGCCGAGCCATGAGCAAAGGCCTCGTCGTAGCAGCTTTCTCGGCCTCGGACCCCTTCTGCAACGTCCGAATGCGGTGCCCAATAGACTCACTGTCTCGAATAGATGCCTTCCTGGGCCCGTGCTAACTGCCATGATTGCTACGGTCTGTATATAGCAGTTGGGATCCCGGAGTTGTTCGATTTATTTGTCTTGTCTTGTACTAATGACTCATAGTACGACGACGGCTGCCTTGAAGATCGGGCTTGCTTTGATGCCGCATGCTGCGCATGTACTTGTTTGTTCGTGCTCGGGGTGGTTTGTGAATTATCGGTGTGCGCAGTGGGGTGCCTGTATACCTACAAGGACATGCAATAACCATATATATATATATATATATTATATGTCACACCTTTATATATGTATATAGCGAGAGGGAGATCTAAATTCTCTTTTCTAAACTACATAAGGAGATGAAGAGCGCGGGGAGAACAGAGGACGGTGAATCTACGCCACACCTTACAAAGTTGCTAGTGTTGGAGGCTTTTGCGTTTAAGACTTAGGGGTCTCAGGCATGGACGCTCTGTTTCGGGGAATGTAGGTTTCGGCTTTGCGCGAAGCCTCCGAACAGCACTCGCAAAATAGGCACATTTTCAGCGACCTCCCTCATAAGACCCGCAAAGACATGACGAAGTCAATTCTCAACCCAATCTGTCCCAACTAGGATTATGTTCATGGCATCTGGACGCAGGTCCGGAACCTCAGCCATCTCGCGCAGTTGCTGGAGAGCAGCAGTCAGGACCATACTTTGGAAGTGGGGACTTGCAAGGTTTGGAGTCCAGAGCCAGGACTTAGGGATTAGGGTTTAGGGTTTAGGGATTAGGGTTTAGGGTCTAGGGATTCGGGTTTAGGGTTTAGGGTTTATGATTTAGGGTTTAGTGTTTAGGGTAATCGGGAGGCGAATCAATGCCAAAGCGTCAGACTCGAAGCATGTCCCATGCTGTCCGCACCTGATGCCCCATGCTCTACACAATACTGTAGAAAGTCACACGATACTGAAGAAAGTCCGAGCCTCCAGGCACCCTAACCCGTAAATGCCCTACACCTAGAGCCTTATCTTGTCGTGGCTGCAGCTTCTTATTGGTAAGCCCTGTATGTGGAAGTATCTTCCCGTAGCTGTCAGCTCAGCAAAGGGCGTCCTATTCGAGACCATCTGTTTAGCCATGATTCGAGAGCATGAGTTGTTGTCTGCATTGTCATCGATATCGGAGTTTGTTTTCTCAGCTTCGAATTGACCTATTGCTTATCTGTCCAGCACTGCTAGTCGTCCATTCCCGCTCGTCTTCTCCGATTGAGGATCCATGTCCGTCTTTGCTCAGATAGGCCCCTTGAAGTCTTATATGCAAAAGGGGTTGACTCTTCAAGGGGTTATATGGGACTTTCCGAAAATTAGGGGTACCTTATTCTGGGGCCCTTTATAATAAGGATCCTACTATTTAGGGTACTATATTAGGGTCCCCTATTTCGGAAACCCCCATGTGTTTAGGTGCAGGGGCTGGGATTCGGGGTTTCGAGACTTTGGTCGGAATTTTAAAATGCCGGCCGTAGGCCACCTGCACTTCAGCTTCCTAGGATTGAAAATGGGTATCAGACGACAGGAGAAGTACCAGAAGTTCGGATTCCGAAGCAAGGAGGTGGGGGAGATGGCAGGAAGTAGGAGGGGAGAGGACTGAGAGTCTTACTTGCACCTCCCGGGGCTTTTTAAAAAGCTGAGAGACGGGAAGTCGTTGGGATTTAGGGTTTAGGTTTTGGGCGTAGCAGATCGATTTCGGACACAGCACTTCGGGCTAGCTGGTTCTAGCATTCAGGAGATCAACTCCACCTTTCCCATCGCGCAAGCTTGTTCCAGGATCAGGCGTTAGTGCCCCCAAGCCCCACAGCCTTAAACCTCATAAGAATACTGCAACAGCCCCCACTTCAAGAAGCGAAGCTTGAATCCCCAAAGATCCCGTTCCATCAGGGCTTTGGCAGTTTGAGGTTCAGGGTGTCGCCAGGGTTTATATTGGCCGATAGTTGCCTGAGGAGATCTGGGGTTTGGGTGAATTCCTCTGCCATATCTGCATCGGGCTTGTTTAGGAATCCTGATGTGTTCCTTGGGTGCAATTTCCAAGGCGAGCTATACGCACTACCCAGAGACGAAACTCAAGCCGTCTACGACGCGGAAGCCATTAAACCGTTTTCGAAAGCTGAAACTCATGCTCGTGGCAGTGCAGGCGCTTTTAGCAAAGCTTCAGTCTGTACGGCTTAGCACCTATAGCACCGTCTGTTGGTTGTAGGTTTTATGGCATCGAAGGTTCGACAATGTGGCGTCGAAAAATTGTTCTCTCGTGTGTTCTACAGCCGTGCTTCCGCGAGAGCGCCAAAGCTTCGCTGCCACACAGGACCCTAAACCCTGAACCCTAAACTCTAAACCCTGAAGCCTAAGCCCTATAAGCCCTAAACCCTGAACCCTAAACCCCAAAGCCCTAAACCCTGAACCCTAAACCCCAAACTCTCAAGAAAAAGGCCAGAGGGCCTCGGTCACTGTCAGAGAAGTGTTGCGGATGAGGGCAAAGTTTCACGCGGGGCCCCAAGCCCGAAACCCCTGAACCCTGATTTACTTTGCAGATCCTGAATGTCGAATTTAATGTTTTGTCTGAATATTATAGCGTAATCACAACAGAAGAGGGACTATATAGGAATACTATGGCTACTTCTGCTTACTTCAGCCTTTAACTCCGCATGATCGCAGGTTGTGGTCTTAGACCGAAGAGCAGCGACGAAGGTTTGGGGGCTCGGGCATTCGGAATTGCTTTGATGGGCTTTCGGACTTTGGGGCTCGGGTTCCGGGATATATCCCGAAGCTGCAGAAGCTGCCAAGTGCTTTGAAACCCTGATCTTTGTGTGTGTACATAATACAAAATATACATGCATATATTTGTAATCTGCATGTAAAACCCTCAAAAAAAGAGGGTTTGTGGTGTAAGGCTAGGCAACCGAGGAATTTCCAGAACAGCCTGGGGATGTGCTGTTCCTTGCAGGTTCGGATTTGCACGCATTTCCAGGTTTGGGACGGTGGCGCTTCCTTTGAGGGGTGTGCTGAAAGAAGTCCCGGGCATGGCTTTCGTCCGTAATCCACGACTCTGTCATGTCTCTCCATCCGTTTGAGCCCGTCGGATGCTGGAGTGTAGAGTTGAGGGCTGTGGTTTTGGAGGTTTAGGTTTGCGGTCTGTCCGTTCAGGCTTCAGCATCATGGTGCAACATGGTCTTCTAGTGACATCCCAGAAGGAAGCCCTTGAAAGCTCATACAAACTCGGATGTGAGTGCTCGCCAATGTCCTTTGAAGAAGCCCGAATAATCAAAATAGCATAAAAAGATAAGATAAGATAAGATAAGACAAGGTTAGTATAGTATAGCCTAATTCTGCCCCTTTCGGGAGGCTCTGCCTGGCATCCTCTCCCAGAACATGATCCCAGCCGCGCGGTCACGGCTTCTGTGAGAACTCCGGCACCTGGGCGTGGCCCGGACTCGAGACCTTGTGGTTGACGATGGGATTTCGGGTTTATGGGTCCTGCCAATTCCCTTAGGAAGAGGGCTGCTACTATGATCTATGCTCTAGGCCATGTGCTTCAGACCATGCAGCTATCGCCAGCCACGCCAGGGATCTCGAGTGTAGAGCATCTTCCTGCATCCCTGAATTCGTTCACGCTGTATGCACGTCCCGGAGGCGTACGAGCCTCGGGAAATGGAGCTCGGAGCAAGAGCTGTGAAGGCAGCGAGAAGTCTCCCTCAACTCCCAACGCAAAGGGTTTAGGGATTATAGGGGCTTCTAGCGTTTAGGCGGTTGAGGGGGTGGGGAGTTTAGGGTCGCGAGGGTTTAGGCGGTTTAGGGTTTAAGGGTTTAGGATCCCTAAACCCGAGCGGCCGAACCCTAAACCCTAAACCCCAAGCCCAGATCCGCAATCCCCGAACCCGACCTGAGATCTGTTGCATGCTCCACTCCTGGAGCCTCAACTTCTGAGCACTTCAAAAAGTCTGGGTTCGGCTTTGCAGGTTTAGGATCTCAACCCTAAACCCTAATCTCTAAACTCTAGCTCTCGCGCATACATACCTGCAAACAAGCATGCATGCATGCATGCATGCATGCATGCATGCATGCATATTATCTCAAACACTTACTCACTGACTGGCTGACTGACTGGCTTACTTGCTCACTTGCCCGCTTGCTCTTTGTGTATGTATGTGCTTACATGTCTCTGTGTGTGTGTGTGTCCAACTATGCATGGCTCAAACTTCTTCCGCTTTTGTGATTACATAAGCTAGTTCACAATTTATCTCTCTCTATAAACAGGTCCATGTGTCCATTTGTCTAGCCATCTGTGTACTTCTGTATGCATATGTACATACCCTTATTCGCCGCTATAGTATAGCCGACAAGTCCATTCTGAAGATTACGCTCCCTGTGCCATCGTTCGGTCACCATCCGATATTCGCAATTCCCTGCTGCTGCCTTCAGAGTTATGACCGGGACTCCATATTCTAGAAAGCATGCCTTCCCATGACCCATTTTGGCAGCGTCGGATCTAGAGGTTAGGCTACTATTCGGGGTGATGCTGAAAGCCCAAGAGCATAAGCCCAACAAGTGTTATCCGTCGAGAGCTAAGGTCCTTCATCGGGGGTTGGATTGAGGTTTCCCCAAGGGTCCAAGTGCCTAATATACTAATAATCATATGCTCTCCCAAATACTAACCTACAACATTACTATCCAAGTACCTGATTATCAGGCCCTTTGGACCCTTAGGGTTTAGGGTTTAGGGATTTAGAGTTTAGGGTTTAGGGTTGAAAGTTGGCTGAAGGAACGAAGCGAAACTCGGAAAAGCCCTGAATCTCCAAAAGTCCTGAG